GCAGATGATGTAAAAATATGGAAGGTCATCAAGTGTGCTGCTGATGAAGATACCTTCCAGGAAAATCTTTGTAGATTAAACAATTGGTCACAAAGATGGCTGCTGTCCTTCATTTCGAACGAATGCACTCTGCTGCGCCTGGGAAGTCGACATCCGGTCCCTGATGCGCGATCCTACCATTTGAACGTAATCGCACTCCAAGAAACAGAAATGCAGAAAGAACTCGCCTTCTGGATGACACACAATCTCAAACCTTCTACACAATAGGCGGCTAAAACCGCAACTTCAATGTTTTACGCCATCAAGCGGGCATTCACAGCTTTTCATGAAGACTGTCTCTCGAAAATCTTCGGTACATTCATAAGGCCACATCTTGAATACAGGATTCAAGTCTGGAGACCGTGGATGCGGCAGGATTATAACGTACTTGAAAAGGTGCAGCGGCGGGCCAAAAAATAGTAAGAGGCCAAGGTTTACTACCATATGAGATCCGCCTAAACAACCTTCATCCCTGTCCTTTAGTTCTAGGCAGTAACGCAGAGAGATCCGCCTGAATAACCTTAATCTCTGTAGACAGTTACGCGGGGATTTGAGTAACCTTCCGTATCGTGCGTGGCTTGGACTGCGCTCTCATGTGTGACGACTTTTGCCAACTCGCCACTTCAACTAATCTCCGGGGACATCCCTTCAATCTGTATGTGTCCCAAGGACGATTGTATGTGAGGGAGTATTTTTTTCTCTAATCGGGTCGTGGAGCCGTGAAACAACCCACCGGACGTGACTGTTATGTCCCAATCTCTGGAAACATTCAAACATCGACCTTATATACGCATGCTACAACACAACGTGAACTATGTGACAAATAAACCTTGAAACACCACTGCACTGTGTGACGGTCTATATTTTCCTGACTGAAAACTTGTTAATGTTTTTTTATAATTATTGAGATTTTGATGTAACAACTAGAGAGTTCAAAGGTGCCATTTTTTCCCTCAAATATACTGACTTACTGACCGAGTGTTTGGATTGGCAGAAATTCGACCTACTCAAAATTTGGAAGCAGATCAGTATATTGCGAGTATTAGGCAATGAAGTTTAAGACCCAATTGAAGATAATATGCAAAAATGTTCTACT